GTTTGTCAGCGCAAAGTTTGGGTCGCCTGTTATCGCGCCGCTGATAGGAACTGCTTCTTCCGTTAAAGAGAAGATTTAAGAAGTTGCGAAGGAAGTTAATGCCATCACGTTATATATGTTACCCATCTCTATTGTCTTTCTTGCTTATAGGAAAAATCTTTTGTGCCCCATTTCGAGAATAAAACTTTCGTCTAGCGTGCATTAAAGGGAATCCTTTAGTATCGGCCAGAAGCAGATAAGAACGTCGAAATTTACGGCGTGTAAGCGACGTCACAGAGAGCGGCCAGTAAACTGTCGTCGTAATTATTCGAGAGCGTCGCGATTCAGACCAACATAAATATAACACTAGCTCGAGATTAACGATTGGCGAGTAATTGCACGCACACGGGATGAAGTACTTTCAATCCTCGAAATAAGACGATAAATTTCGGAATATCGCGAAGAACGTAGTAATAAATCCTCAAGATTATATTTTCATTATTCTATTCACAAAATCCAAAAATAAATGCCATTGATTAATAAATTCTATAATATTGGTTTTTCAATCAATTACGTGATATTTATTTAATATCTGATATCCCTCGGATTATATTACACACTGTATACACACATACTATACTGATATTTATTATTTTATTATTACATATATCCTTCCTATATAAAAATTTATATTCTTTAGAACTTGAAAAATATCGTCACGTATGTATCATTTTCCACTATTCAATAATAAGTGAAAAGAAAAAGGACGACGTTGATATAACAAAAATTGGATTTAATAGCGAGTGCTCACGATCGCTCTTATATAAGCCGCTCTCATATAAGTACCGGAGACTCCTCTCGTAAACGCGCTCATTATTGAAAGCATGATGAACGCGTATCGCGAAAATATCATCGACGAGAAACGCCGATTCGAAAATCGAGTCGCACGGCCGTTGTCGTAGTTGTCGTCACGTCGCCGTGCTTGGTCGTCGGAGATCAGTGATTTCTCGCGCGCGCGAGGGTGGCAAATCGAATCTCTGAGGACGTTCGCGCGATCAGAAGAAGATGGAAAAGCGAGGAAAAGTCGAAGGGCCGGGCTCGCCTGAGGGTATCGAGAGGTGAAGAGGTATAGAGAAAGCCAGCGGGTGAGGGAGAGAAAGAGGGTTGGAAGACTGGATGAGGGTTTGGGCGACGTGCGAGCGTACAAGGGGGATCCAGGGGGTAAGGTGGATCGTCGGAAGGGTGACGAACGGGGGAGGGTTGAATCGGCGCTTGCGTGGTACTCGGTCCTATCTACTTGTCAGCCAAGCAAAGCTGCCACCACCCCGGCGCTTTGCCTCTCTCTCTCTCTTTCTCTTTCTCGCGGCGCCGCGCTACTCGATAACAAACTCTACAGTACCAGTACTGGCACGGTACTCCGGACCACCGGATCGCCCACTGTCCGTCGCCGATCACCGGTGGGACATCGGTAACGCAAACGAACGAACGGACGAAAGAATCGCGATCCACGTGATGATTTTACGATCTCAGTTACGCGCGCAATAATTTGGGACTTACATGCTCGATTACGTAATTTTTCCCCCGTTATTTTCGCGAGAGAACGAGTGCACCGGTAAATCTTCCGACTCTCGCGTTTCTTCATCTTCCCTCCCCTCTCCCACCCTTTTCCGGGAAGATCCTCGTGAGATATGTCTTCGATCGGAGCGTGCGTTAAAACGCGCGTGTTGATTGATGCGATCGCGAAGATTGACTGAGACAACTTGGAAGTTTTATTCTTTTTCTTTCTAATTACCTTCACCTTTGTTCTTCCAATTTAAAACTGTTTGCGATCCACTAAATCTACATAAATTTGTTTCTGAAAGTTTCTATAATCAATTTAAAAAATTTAATCGTGCTCGATACGTTTGTATATCTAGTTTACAAAATTAAAATCGTACCTTATTTTGTTGTTCAGGCAGATGAATGAAACTTTCAGTATGAATATGGGTTCAGTGGATGCATGCGTTATTTGGCAGAACCAGGGCTAAATTTCCTACGGGCTGGTTTCACCAACGTCGATTAACGCAAACCGTGATTGACTGAGGGTCGATTCTAGTAACGTCGCTTAGGGCTTTGATATCGGTTAAGTCAATTTTCTCTCTCTCTCTCTATTCATATCGTAGATAGAACTATAATCTACAAAGAGATAGCCAATCGTTGAGCCAAGTTTACTCGACCTACATGATTGATGTAATTCGGCCCAACTCCATCTATGTTGCAAAGAGGGCTGAATGACATGTTGATTAGCGCACTTGGGAAATATTCCCGTTGACAGCATGTCTAGATTATATCTATATTACAACCGATACGATCTGCAGAAAAATAAAGGATCGACTAAATCACGGTCAGCGTTGATCAACGAGTCTGGGAAACCTGCTTTTTTGAGGCTGACTTTTGTTCGTTCTGAAAAAGACGGTCGACGGCATGGAGATCGTCCGTCCACTTTCCCGTTCTCTTTGTGCGCTGCTGGTTATGGTGTATAACTTGTTGCTCGCGGGCAAACGAACGTGCAGTGACCGCGGATTGCAATTTTATATCTTCAGATCGGTCGCCGATGGCAGATTGCCATGTCTGCTTTCGGAGATCCTTTTTTCTAGTTGCGTTCCCCGTCTCCGTTTGAATCGGCGATAAAAATGAAGAGCGTTTGTTTCATCGACGCGCGTTTGTTACTCGGAAGTGAAGAGGATGGGGGAGGAAACGAGGCAAAGAGAAGAAAGAGAAAGGATAGAGCAGAAATATCGTAAAGGATATACGGGATCCTGGTCCCTGTCGACCGACCTTCCTCGTTATTTGCGGCTTAGGACGGCTGCGGAGCAAACATAGTCGTCGCGACCATCCTCCGATATTTGCCACCGCGATTATCCCGCTTTCTCTCGCAAGATCGTGGACACTCGCCGTGACGACCTCCCTCGACCTCCGAACCGAGAACTCGATCGCCCATCGACGGAACATGAGTATCAGACAAATTGAAAAGTTTGAATTCTCTCGAGTCTCGAAATCTTGCTGTCTTCTCTCGCAAGAGTTCAAATCGACTACGGGATATTATCCATTGATCGAGATTATACCACGGAAATGAAGTTTCTCTCGGTTTAGGATAATTTCCAACTCAGGCGATGTCGATCGCCCTTCGAGAGTCACGATCGACATCGAAGAATGAGGGTGCTTCGCGATAAGGAGATTTGCTAGAACGAGAGAGAAAGAAAGAGAAAGAGAAATAATGCCCTGTTTTCATAAACTTTAATTAAAATTAATCGTGGTTCAACTGATATTAGGCTGCCGCTATCCAGAAATGGAACTAAAAAAAAAACAGAAAGAATTGCTTAATTGTTAGCTAAGTTCAATTAATATTTTTGAGAAATCAATCTACGACATTCTACGACAAAACAACGTTTTGAGAACGATTCTCATTTCGCGGCAGTTTTAGTTCCGTTCACGTGTTTTAGTGCTTCCACGCTTGCTTTGTGCTTTCTGTCTCACGCACAAAAAAAATTCGATTTCGCGGAATGGTGCGGTTGGATGACAAATTGAATTTTTCTCAGTTGTCCTCTACCAACCCCGGAGGGGCCTAGTCCGTTCCTCACGAAGGGTTTTATTTATTAAAAAAAGGCCGAGCCTCGTGCTAAGGCGCGCGCATCTCACTGTCGAGGCTGACACTCGATTTCAGGAGCAAACCGCGAGTGCGATAAATTGACCGAGTAAACAATACAAAAGCTCCTTACGGTTTTCCCGTCGCCATCATCCCTCGGGTCTGAGAGAAAGTGATGAGAATTAACTAATTACTGTGTTAAATATAGGTGAACTTGTACTATTTAAGGCGTTGTCATCAATAAAGAGCGAATTTCTCACAAGACGCGAATGTGCGCCAAAGAGATTATAAGTAGTTACGAATCGTATTGGTCTGACCGTGACCGCCTTTTTTCACTGCTTACAATTCTGCCGTCGAGGGTGGTCGTGGGTTTCTTAACCAAGTTTGATAACGTGGGAGGATTAAGTAGCTATGGTTAAGTAGCTATCAAGAAATAACGAGGTTTAATTAATATCTTCTTTCCATTACGTTTCTTTTAGATATTAAGTGTTTATTAAAACTTAAGTGATATCGGATGCATCGGATGCATAGTAGGTAAGAACTTTCTTCGAATTTTCGGAAAAATATTTTTTGCATAAATTTAAGTTATTCGAGATAAAGTGTTCAAGATTCTCATTCTTTTCAGTGCCAATTTCAACAAATAAGAATTGAATTTAATAAGAATTTTTTTCTATCGAGTTCCGATTGTTTTGCAGATCGAGGAAAAGTCGTACTTCTACTTTCAAGGTTTCCTCAATAATAAGTGCACTCCTTTTTAATAGCAACTATGCTATGAAATTAAGAAAAAATAAGTATTCAGGCATCGCTTCGAATACACCTCACTCCTAACTTTACAGCGCCGAGAACTTTTGTTAGCCGCTTCTTGTGTCTTGGCAAACTGCACGAGTTAAACAGTTACGAATTGCTTACACTCGACGGTACTACCCGTATTTCTCCCACGTCCCAAATCCCGTCGCTGATTTGTAACGTCCTTTATTGCGAATGGATTTCAGGGAACAATAAAATCTCAAACTGTTACGCTCTCCACTGGGTGAAACTAATTTTTCTATCATTTAGAACTCCGCCATGAATTCTCTTTAAAGCCGCACGCTCCAGAAAGCTATGAAAAAATTGGATAGTTAAAGATTAAAGTTCATATGCCGCCAATACTTTTTGTTATTTGATACTTTTCACTTTATTATTGAATTTTTAAAAACAATTGTATTTAATAACAATCATAAAATCATAATCATTACAATTGCAATTATATTGTTATTAATTAAAAATTAATGTATTATATATATATATATATATATATATATAATACTAATTATAAAAATAAAAAACTTTAATTTATTTTTATTGCCATTTATAGTATCTTCTTTATACGTATATTATAGAAATTTTTAATTTAACATACTTAAAATTTCCGGTAATTTCAAGATGCAGAAATACTTCATAATTTCTCATTAAAAAATCTCATTTTTTTCCCAGAGCAGTTCTTTAATTTTCAAACAAATAAAGAGGCATGAGCTACGTGCTCCATCGGGTAGATTTAATTCGCATTCTTCTTGCCGAGCACTTGCCACTGATTTGCGACCCTTTTTCGACCGCAGCGAACATTCCGAAAAGCTATGAGAACTTAGAAATTACAGACCTCTTCGAGTGAACCTAACGTATATACATATATATTCTTCAGCGTCCTTAGCGAGGATTCTTCTAGCGAGTTTCTACTAGAACTGCTTGAAAATTTTTACACTTGACTTTTTAGAAAATAACGAAACGTGTATCACAAAGTTAAAAATACAGGATCAACCAAACATGATGTTTCTACTTGGAACTTTTACAAATTCCGAAAAGTAAGAAGAAATCTTAGAAAATAAATAATCAGGTAATTCGTAGCAGGCTTAATTCATGTTTCATATTTTTCTCTTTCTTTTTCAACTGTAATTTATTTTTAAAAATAAACAATCATAAAGATTGATATATCCATGTAGATATAATCCATCGCTTTTTCTCTTATTTTCGTCATTTTGCATACCGAAATTTCGAGGACTAATTATTAAAAAGATTCTTCTAGATCCTTTATCCCTTCTCTTAATTAATTTTTCAATGTCCAGCAATCTTTCAGGCAATTCTCTAAGAGAACATTTTCTCTTTTTCGACCCCTTGTAACTACATTGCTTACCAGGCAGCTTTCGAGGCCTTGTTGCGCAGTAGCGTCGAAAGTTGGTTTCTCTTCGAGGAGACGATCATCCAAGAATGGGTTCTGTTACACGCTTTGTTTGTTCCTTCCCTAAAAACGTCGGTTCGGCCCGGCGACCGTTTAATTTTCCTTCGACGCTTCACGCGATGTCGGCAATTTCCGAAAGGGTCGTTAACACGGATCGTCAATCCTCCTTTGTGCTCGTCGCCAATAGAAAGGGGTTACCATCTTCTTATCGCAAGCAACTAACGCGACACCCTTTCGGATCTATCAAGGGAGACAGATATGAGGACGCATACGGGATTCCAACAGAAATAGCAGACTTAGCCATTTTCGAAGGTTCAAATCATCGTGGTATTTTCTATCTCCCTTTCTCTCTTTTCTCTTTTTCCTTATCTCTCTCTGTCTCTCTCTCTCTCTCTCTCTCTCTCTCTCTCTCTCTCTCTCTCTTTCGCTTCGATATCGAAAGAACGACAGGAGGAAAGGGGGCAGGGCGACTAATTGGAAAGCCGACGCGGGGATTAAAGATTTCCCGGACCCGCCCTTTTCTCTCGCAGCGGCGGTGGCGCTTAACTGAAATTACGTCAACTGGCGAGTGCGGTTGCACATTATCGACCGACGTAATTGGGTATTCGTTAGAAATAAATGGCCGTTAATGCAATTTTCGGCAGGTATATATATATAATACCTGCCGAAAAAATATATATATATATGTGTCCTTCTCTCTTTTTCCTTCTTCCTCTCTTTCTCTCTCACACTCTCGCTAATAATGCACCGATCCAAGTCACGTTAACTAAAACGATGAAAACATTACAAACTCAATAGCGCACATAGTCTTCCCTCTTCCGCTGTAATGACCGGGTGATTTAATCATTTACTGCACCGGCGAGAGTCACCAAGATGCTAACACGTTAACAGAGGGAAAACCCGCTGCAAATCATCGTCGCGAAAATCGAGCACAACGTCGTCGCTGCGGTATACTCGCCGTCTCGTCGTTATGTCCCAGCATCGTTAACACTGAAGACAGTCTTGTGATAAATTTCCGGCACATAGCGAAATAAATTGCATCGTGGATCATCAGGTAGGTTCCTCTCCCTTTTGAACTTCATTTCGTAAAATTACGAGACTTGCAATAGAGGTGAGAAGAAGGGTTATATAATATACATTATATAATAAATCTCAAGATATACGCATCCAATAAAATTAAAGTCGTATAGAAACAAATAAGAATCCTCACACGTTTACGCGTTCATTGTGATAAGCAGAATTTCAATTATGAACCAATAATTATATGATATGATAATTATATGATATAATAATTATATGAACCAAAAGCTCAAAATTTTAACTATTTTTTTTTAATGATCGAAATGATCGTATTTCTATGTTTTAAATTCCAGTTTTATCTCATAGCCATATAACAATTCAAAATAATTGATTATCTTAACATGAGCGCGAACTTGCTAGTCATTGTCTAATATTACAAGTCTTATGATTTCGCGAAATACGGTACCACGTTAGAATTTCCTATCACGTCTCCATGTACAATTTTATGGTGGTTGATTCGATTGTTGCCATAGTATACCAGCAAACCGACAATACTTTCGGAGCGACCTCACGCTATAATGGCGGTCGTGTAATTATCTGCGATGCATACTGCATTTAATGTTGTTTGGATGTCAATGCCGCGAATAGAGGGGCAACGGGATTGGTAATTGTTGTTTACAACGCACCGCCGCGCGTCATTGTGCTATGATGACAGCGTCCTGATGTATAGTGAACGCTGTGCGCTGATGGGAACTGACGAATTTTATTAGTGATGCGGAAGAGAAATTGATCAAATTGTCAATTGTCACATGTAGCTTATCCGGCGTGTGCAGTTACAAAAAAAAATAAAACTGTTCGTTCCATATTTCGTGGCATTAAATGCTGAACAATATTATGGCAATCCAAAATACAGATATTTTTTATTAAACTCTTTTTTAAATATGATAATTTGACGTAATTATTACATAATTCATGATTTTTATAATTTTTTCTACTCCTTATACCGCTATTACCTCCATTTATGTTTTAATACACGTCGCAGTCTTGATATTTCAATGCAGAATTAATTGCAGCGCGGAATGGATTTCACCATCGCAAACAGCGATCGGCTTAAATCCGGTTTACGCAAATAACCCGATTCAATACACTTTGGCAAACAATGAAATGCCATACACAACTGCTATATATTTTTAGAATTATTCCGACGGTCTACCGCGAATGCTTTCCCGTGTTGTTCCGCTGATGGCGAATAGAAAATTATGCGATCATCCTCGCCCTTAAATCGCGCTGCGCGAAAGTTCGATTAGAGCAACTGCGGCTACACGATCTCTCAATCCCCGTGAAATTCAATATTCTAACGTCGTAGAAGTGGCCCAGTATCTTCTAATGTCAATATATATTATCTCGCAGCTGCTCGCTTATGTATAAGGGTCGCACGTATCTTTTCCACGCGGTGCGGCGGTATTCGCGCGAAGCTGGATACGATAGTCAATATCGTCTAGGCAGATTAACGATCGAATCGTTCACACTAGATTGATATTATATTTGACTTTCTACCGATCCCGCCGCCACGTTCTGCCTCCCTGCATCACTGCGGCAGAGGATTCTGCGTGCGGTTAATAAGTAAGAGCAAAGTCAAAGAGATAAGCCATGATAACCGGTGCGCGATCTCGTTAAATCTAAAACTTTACGCCCATATTTCAACGCTGTTCTTTATTAACTTTGCATGCGCAGGAAAAATTTACAGCGATACGTATTCTTGAATGTATTAAACAAATTACAAGATTTGCATCAGTTATGAAAAATGTTATTTTTTTGGGCACGACGTATAAAATGTGTAAGTGTAACTATTATAATGTATGTCTGATATATGTATATATTTCTTTCATTATACACTTGTATATATCGTTATAAAAAGATAATGGAACGCGGTTTGACTTTTACATACGTATAACGCTATTACAGCCTGTAATAAATGATAGACACGGACGACGTCAACGTCGAAAACATTTTTGACACGCGCTGCGAAAAGCGCGCAGCAAATTTTTGGGGACGCGGAAAATAAACTGCCTGAACCTTTTTCACGCTTTGAAATCCAGTTTTTCCGCATGCAACGCGGTACAAATGTATCTCGGTTGAAGTATCTGCCGTGACGTAGAGGTGCAAAGCTTATCCGTTCCGGGCAGCTTTTGGTATTAATCTGACTGGGTATAAATCTCTCGCTAATCCACGTAACGTTGTAACCCCGGCTATAGCGCTACATTGACGCTGCTGTTGTTACTGTAGCGAGAAATACGGAACTTGTTGAATACACGTATTCGAGAAGTCCGCTGTTACAGAAAAGTAGTTGAAAGTAACTCGCGATTACCCATCTGCTTTTACAGCCGATCGATCGACCCTAAGTGCTTCCTTTAAAAAGAGAAATCGAGCAATTCGCGGATCGCGCGAGTGGTACGACTAATTTAAATTTTAACCGGCCAGATTCCCGGGAGAGAAATAATTGGATCAATCCTCTTTAACAACTCAAAGACTGCTTTGCAGATTATCTGTCTTATATTGAAGAAAAAAATCTCCGTTTCGTGTTATACGAAAATAATCTTTCTCGTAAGAAAAAAAAATTATTCGATCGTTCACAATTTATCAGTTATCTTTTGACTTGTCGTTTATAAGAACCATGATGACAAGGCATGAATAATCTCACCGTATATCCGGTCTTCGTTGCTACGATGTGGCTATTTTTAACCAGACCTTTGCACCTTTTTCCGACCTTAAATCGCTTTGCATAAGGTGTGGAATAATTCAGACGCGACGGCTTTTTGCATTTGCAGGGGCAGTCGGTTTTCACGAGGGAACGAGGTCGGACGGAAGCACCGGAATTTTTCCGGAAATTTTACCGCGACGATCTCCGTCGTACGTGACGATTGAATTTGCACTCACGGTCGTCGGAAGCAGTCGCACAGCGTTTGCAGACTAAACCGAGCAATCTAAAATTATAGGAGCACCTGGACGGCGATGTTACGTACGAGACAGACAGAGAGGAATATTTTATCTTTATCCGCGCGCGTCATCATTAATTTTCTTTCTACAAGGGTCACCGAGGAGCACTTTAACTCCTGTTGAAAATACAAAGCCGGACATTGTGTCATTATCACGCGCGTCAACGAGTCACCGCAACGACATCGTGATGTAATCTTTATCTTAATCCTAATAAGTTAATACTCGCTGTTGATTGATGTTTATTTCGGAAATCGATGTAACCAATTCGTGCGTTAATTATCGAGGCTTTGCCCTACATTTCGCTTCACGGAAATAATCGGCAACAGCTCGTTTCCGGTTTCGGGCGCAGAAGGGTAAAGGGACCGTCGGCTGGACCGAGAAGCGCATCTCGTAACTTAATTAGCGAGAGAAGTTGAGGTCTTTTTCCATCCGTTTCGATCATTTACCGGATACAGGCGATTGTACAAAGTGAGGCGTTCCGGCTGTAAATTGAATCTTTCGTATCCCGATTTCATTTCTATTTCTTAACAGGATAATTCGAGCTTCTTGCGTTATAAAATACTATTAGCCTAAGTATTCTTTACTGTCTTTCTATCTCTCTCTATACCTCTTTCTTTAATTCTGTTGCTATCATAATTTATAAAAATTTACATATAAACTTTAAAAAAAACGCTGTTTTAAATTAATGTTATTTAATAAAGCTAAATAAAGCTTACTCTTTTTCATATTTCCGTTACATCACATTTCGCTTGCCCATACTCCTGTGCCTATCCTTCTATAAATAATATTCTCATGTCCCACATTATTATGCTCTTCGACTTTCATCCTAGACTATAAATCTTTTAAGAGGAACTGCACGTGAGAGACACTCATGAATTAATTATTTTTTCACATTCAGTAACGCGAATTTATATTTCACTGCCGTACAGATCGAATAATATCCTTTTTTCAGTTTACAAATCCAGCATTTCTAAACAGAAAAGGCACTTCACCTGTCTCGTTTCACCTACTTGTACATTCTAACCTGGGATCCTCGAAACCCTCGGGTCACACTCAAACGATCTGTGTGACAACACCGACCCGATCCAATTGAATATAACCGAATAGGGAACGCGTCACAGAGTAGCGACGGGAGAGATGTTTTCTCTGACGCTGGAGAGACGCCGCTCGTGCTGCGTCCTCTATTTCGTGTAAAGCGATGTAAAGTATATACTACCGCTTCAAGTAGTGTGAGATTTTTAATCTCGGGAAGAGCTCCGTCCTTCCGGACGGCACACCGGCGAAGAATACAGCGAAACTTTATCAACCGTAGCTTCGGAGATGGGCCGTCGCCATTACTTACAATTCTCTGTTATTAATCGCTACGTCGACGGTGCATTATAATACGTTGAGCTGCTATTTAATTTGGCGAACGTTTAACCGATAATTTTTAACCGATAATTACGAGACATCCGTCTCTCGTGAATATCGGTTCCTACGCAAAGCTCACGCCGTATTTCAATAAACGACGATTGCAAACTTTTCATTAATATTAAAATAAATAAATCCAGCACGAAGGCACCCTTCATATTTATGCGGCAATATATATCTTGGCGTAAATTAATTTTAAAAATACGAATTATACGTGCCCGCAGTGGATAAAGAATGTATTAATAAATTCGCGATATCTTTGCGAAGATTTAAAAAGAGTTTCTACGTTTCTACGTTTTCAGAAGTTTCTTGCCTCAAAGGAGAAAATGTAATGTAATGTAATATTATTTTCATGAGAAAAAGAAAGAAAGAGATAACTAATTATTAATTTATGTTTGAAAACGCGTTATTTAAATTTTTTAAAGATACCAACAGCTTTATGCATTGTAAAACGTTCAAATAATGAGAAATAATTATTATCTTTTAACATTGAATTATAGATGCGGATAGCACATCAGAACTAAAAATAAACCTATTTTTAAGCGACATTGTGCATTTAAAAGTGAATTTAAAAAATACTCATCCAAGAGCTTCTATCAACCGATCATAATTCTTTTATTGCCTGCA